ACCAGCTCCAGCAGCCGGGCGTGTGGAAGTTGGGATGGAGGAGGTGGTGATTACAGCCCACTGGGCAGCTGTCCGCTGAGAGGGCAGAGGGCAGAGAGAAAGGGCCCATACGAGTCAGGGTGCATCCAGCCGGCACTGACTGCTGACGTGGGGGCCACTGGTCCGCTCCATCCTCCCCACTCCCAAAGCGAAGTGCTGGGGTCAGCCCATTTCACAGGTGAGAAAACTGAGGCCAGCGAAGGGCGGTTGCTGTCTGTGCTCACCGTGAAGGAAGGGCAGAAAGGCCAAGGCCATGCCAGCAGCCTGGGCCGCCAGCCCTGGGCAGCCTGGGCGGGGGATCGGGTCAGGCGACCGCGGCCAGCCGGGACCCAGACGGAGCCCCTCCCGGGTCAGCTTGCCCACGTGGAGGCTGGCAAGGCTGCGCCTTCACTCACCCTCTCACCCCGAGAGGAGGAATGCCGTTTGACTGGCAAGAGGAGGAAATAAACATTGTTCTGTTTGGCTTAGGGGAGTGAGCCGGGAGGGCCTCTGCCCAGCTCCGCAGGCGGGAGAGGAGAGCCGCCGGCTTCCCCCAGACCCCCCGGCCCAGCGCCCCCACCCCCGGAAGCTGCCCTGGGCGTTCGGCGGTGGCAGGGGCAGGTGGAGCTGGGTCCCAGGTGTGCCTCCGAGAAGCACCCAACTCCCTGCACACAGCCCCCTTCCCTCCCCAAACCGGCCCGATGTGGCCGCGGCCAGGTGCTGGGGAGATGCCAGAACCCCCAGTCAGAGGCCCCTCTGAGCTCCCTGTCCGCCCGCAGCCGCGCGGAGGGGCCAGGCTGGAGGAGACCTTGAACTCCGCTGTCCCGTTGTCTCTCGAGGCATTCTCGTGTCTGGCTCACCTTCTCAGATAAAGACGGGAGCCCTCGCGGGCCTGGCAGACGTGGTGGCACCTGACCCACTTTTCAGGCTCCCTGTCTGTTTGACTAACGGGGCGGCCCCCGCTACCTGCACCGTAACCTTTGGACAGAGCTGGGAAACGAGGGTGAAAGCAGAGATTGCTGTGTGTCACCCCGGTAATCACCTGGCACGGGTGAGGCCTCGTGACTGTGACTCGGCTCTGGCCCCAGAGCCCCTGGACTCAGTGACCCGCGAGGGCAGGGCTGTGGGGCCGGGCCTGGGGTTGATGAGGTTGACCTTTGGCTGCCACTCACCACAGGCTGACTTGGGCAGGCTGACTCACTCACTCACTGAGTTACAGAGCTTTTACTCACCCCCCGCCCCCCAGGCCCCAGCCCCCCAGCCCTCCAGCCCCCCAGCCCTCCAGCCCCCCAGGCCACAGCCCCCCAGCCTCCCAGCTCCCCAGCCCCCCAGCCTCCCAGCCCCCCAGCCTCCCAGCCCCTCAGCTCCCCAGCTCCCAGCCCCCCAGCCCCTCAGCTCCCAGCCCCCCAGCTCCCAGCCCCTCAGCTCCCAGTACCCCAGCCCCTCAGCTCCCCAGCCCCCCAGCCTCCCAGCCCCTCAGCTCCCCAGCCCCCCAGCCTCCCAGCCCCTCAGCTCCCCAGCCCCCCAGCCCCCCAGCCCCCCAGCCCCCAGCCCCCTAGCCCCCCAGCCCCCCGGCTCCTGAGGAGGGCGTTTCGGTCCACAGGCTCAGCCGCGGCCTGCAGGCCTCAGGGTGAAGGCTGTCCGTGTGCTGTCCACGTGGGCGCCCTCAGTCCTGTCCAGAGTCTTGGCCTCTCTGAACCAGGACACTCTCCCCCTGCAGACCTTCCCAGGACATCATGGCAAATGCTGCCCTTACCCGCCTCTGCCCCCGCCTCCCGTCCTCCATGCTCGCCTGCTCCCAGCTCCGCGCTCACCGCCCTCCCTCCGGAGCCCTCCGGCCTCCAGCACCGCTATTTCCCACCCACGGCTGCACCCCTCTCCCGGCCTGCCCGCACTCCGGGCGCTCCTGCCCAGCTGCCCCTCCACCCTCAGCCCTGTCCGCTCCTGTCGGAGCCGTGCTCCATCAGCCGTGGGCCCGTGGGTGCTTCCCCTGTCTCAGTGCCAAGCCTCCTTCATGCCCAAGCTCCGGCCCTCGCTCCTCGCTCTCCACGCCCTGCCTCCCGGGGTGCGGGACAGACGCCCTCCTGCTGGGACTGCCCCCTCTCCTCTAGTCACCCAGGAAGCTGGGTCTAGACTCAAAGACCCCCCTCCTGTGTGGTAAACGGGCCCCTTCCGAGGCCCCCTCCCCGTGGGAATACAGTGAAGGCCGGCAGAAAGGGACTGAGACCTTGGGAACCTGGCCAGCAGCTCCGAATGAAGAAAAACAAACTTCTAGCTGTGCGCCTGCATTGTAAACAGCGGTGTTTGACCTCGTGCAAGCCCTGCTCCCCCTGCGGGCCTGCGGTCTGTGTGACCCCATGAAGCCCCGTGCGGGGAGTGTGGGGGGTGGAGAGCCGGCAGAGGGCCGCAGCCCGGTGCACCTGCCCTCAGCCAGGCCTGCATTCCGTGGAGTCCACGGGCACACGGAGTTCCGGACCTCAGCGCATGGCACAGCACTTCCTCCTCCAGCACTTCCTCCCCCAGACTCATACCCCCTCCCCTCCCCTCCCCTCCCCTCCCCTCCCCTCCCCTCCCTTCCTTCCCCTCCCCTCCCCTCCTCTCCCCTCCCTGGAACTGTCTCCTGGAAGCTTCCCCTCCAGTTTGACCTGCTTGTCCCTCCACGCCACCCCCCCTGCCCCTGCCATCCTCTCCCTCTCTGCCACACCCCTCCCACCCTCACCCCTCCGCCTCCTGGACGGCGCCGCCCAGGGCCTCTCCTGCTCCCAGCTCTGGGTCCCTCGGCCTCTCACAGCTGACGTGGGGGCTTTATCACACCCACAAGGAAGACTCTCAAACCTCCCTCCTCCTCCGAAACCCGCAGCACACTCCGTGTCCAACGCACGTTAAAGAAACGCGACTCTTCCCTCTCGACTCCCCCCGCTCAGGCCTCGGACCGGGAACCCCTCTGCCAGCTGGCGCTCCTCCCCTTAGCGGGGCAGGCTCAGCAGGACGGTCCCCCCAGGCTCCGCGGTCACCGTCTACAGCTCAGCAGAAAACACAGGTATGGGAGGATCGGATCCAGGAACACACAGACTTGTTTTTAAGGTTTGTCAACAGCTTTTTTATTTATTTTTTAAAATACGTTTTGGGTTTAGAGAGACAAGAAGGGGAAGGAAGAGAAGCACTGCTGAGAGAGAAGCATCGATAGACTGCCTCCTGCATGCTCCTGCCCTGGGGATCGAGCCTGGGCCCGACTGGAGTCCAGCGGTCACCGCCTGGGTCCTGGGCGGTCGCTCCGTCACGAACCACGCCTGCCGGGCCACACGGCTTTTTTACAGACGTTCCCACCAGATGCCGTCCTCCAGGGAGGCCCCCAGCTGTCTGAGCTCACGCCGTGTCCTGGGAGGACCGGGCGGCCCAGCGCAGGGAGGCGGCGGAGGCAGCCGGGGGAAGACCCCATGCCCATCCTGCCCACTCACCACCGGCTCCTTCCTGAAGAGTCCAAACCTGCTTTTCCCTGGGCGTTAGCAACCACCGAGCCCAAGGCTTCCTCCCCGCCCCACCCGCCCGGGCCTGCATGCTGGGGTCACGCTTACCACCGCCCCGGAGCGCCAGAGCCCGGCCAGCAGCTCACCTGGCTCCGAGCGCCACGGGTCTGCAGCGAACACAATGGCGCCCGCAGCATGGGCCCAGCCAGCTGGTCATCGCACAGGACACGGACTGAGTGGTGGGCAGGCCACCGGGAGCTTTCCACCCTCGGACCGTCGGCGTGGACATCCCAGCGGGTCAGGGTCAGGGCTTTCCCTCCTGGTCCGCACCACCGCCCTCACCGCCTCAGAGGGGGCGGCTCGGCCTGGAGCCGGCCTGGCCATGGCACCGGGGTCCCCCTGACCCCCAGGTGCGAGAGGTCTGGGTTAGCAGCCTGCCCGGGTCACCCAGACCTTGCAACGCTGGGCAAACTCAGGTTTCCCGACTCCTATGCCAGCTGCATTTCCTCTTCCAGCCAGGTTTTGCTGAACTGGGAGAAGGACTCACACCAGTTCTATCCAGTCCACGAGACAAAACCTAACTAATCAGGAACCACTGAAAAGCGGGTTGCAAAAGCCTTCACAGGCTTGGAGGGCTGAGGGTAAGAGGATGTCCTTTAAAGCCTCCCCATAGAGAGTAGGTGCTCCTCCCACTCACTCTTCTTAAAAGAAAAAAAATTATATATAGCGCACACACACACACACACACACACAAGACCCAGTGCACAGAACTGTGCACCAGTGGGGTCCCTCAGCCCAGCTGCACCCTCACAATCCCGGAGCCCTCAGGATTGTCTGCCGGTTTCAGCCCGATCCGCACGGGCCTTCGATACCGAAGGACGTAGTGGTGCCCAAGGTGGCAGGCGGCCCGGGAGGAGCCGGAGCCCAGGCCTCGGGCCGGGCCGCCCTCGCCATCGCTCGGTAGCGAGCCGGCATCTCCCTCGCAGCCCAGGAGCGAGCCGGCATCTCCCTCGCAGCCAAGCAGCTGAGGGCTCTCCCGCACTGACCACCAGCACGCAGCTCCCGCGTTGTCTCCCCCTGGTGGTCAGTGCGCTCCATTGCGACCAGTCGTTTGATCGCTTAGGCTTTTATATAGAGATCATTTCAGAGAGGAAAGGAGCGAGAGAGAAACATCGATGAGAGCGCATCACTGACCGGCTGCCTCCTGCACACCTCCCACTGGAAATCCAGCCGGCAACCCAAGAGTGTGCCCTGACCGGGAATCGAACCGTGACCTCTTAGTTCATAGGTCAACGCTCAACACTGAGCCAGCCTGGCCCCTGCTTTTCTCTTAACTGAGTGGCCAAAAGGCCTTCTCCACCAGAAGCAAAGGAGATCAGGGCTCCGAGAACTCAACACTCAGAGACTGAAAGGCTTTAAAAACGCTGAATTTACAAAATCTACCTGAAATGAAATCCTTGTGAGAGAAAATCACCTGGATGTTTCCTTCTTGGATGCAGTGAACACCGGCCAAACTGTTTTAATTTCCGAATTTATTAAAATGATTAACCTCAATACTGCAAGTGCATGTACAAAATATTTGTAAAAAATGTTTTTAATGAAACATTAAAGAACTTACCTCAAATGCTGAAAAAGTCCTTTTTTTCATTCTTTCAGTACAAGGAATACATTGTATCTCAAAAGTATTACAACTCAGCAAAAACAATTTAAAACAGTAGTTTGAAAAATGATTGAAAATTGAATACATGTATTTCTATGATCACTTCCTAATTCTTACAATGCAAAAGTCTTTACCAATCATTGCATAAGCTCAAGCTAAGAGTTTTACTGAATGAAGTTTCATTGACCTCTTACAAGAGATCACCAGAGGGCAGAGCCAGGACGACACAACGGACAGTCAGCTCCTCGGAAGGCGCCGGCGGTGGCCAGGCTGGGGCACAGACTCTGGGACAGTGAGGCTGCCGGTGTCATGCTCAGACACGGGAAGGCCAGCCTCACAGGACGAGGCTGCACTACAGTAAAAACTAACATCATAAATAAGTTACTGAAAAGAAGCTTAACAATGGAGAAAAGTGGGAAATACGATATTTAAGACTGGGATTCCTGTAACGGCTATTGTTGGTATTCCAAGAAACAGTTCAAGACGTTTAAGTTACTGTTTGATTGAAGGCGGGGATGCGGGGGCCCTCTGCCCTGCCCTGGTGGCCCAGTGCCCGTCTCACGGACCCCGTGCTCCGAGGACTCCGGACAGGCCTGGGCCGCCTGCTGGCCGGGGGCGCTCCAGCTGAGCACAGAGGCAGGGAGCGTGCCACGCGCTGCCCATCGCTACCTGAGGGTGGACTGCATCTGAACATGCGGGGGCGACAGCAGACTGCAGAAGTAATGCCTTGAAGGAAGGAAGGAGAACAAACGGCTACATTAAAACAAACTCTTATGGAGGTTGTTAATTTTTACCTGGAACCTACTGCGATAGTGTTAAGGAACTGAGTGTCCCAGCAGCTGGGAACTGGGGGAATAATTAGGAATGACAGTGAGCACAGAGGTTTCTCCAAGGGTTCCATCACCTGCAGATTCCTTCAACATTTAAAACGGGGCTCCCTTTCCAGACACTACGGGTCCCGGACGGGGTACCCAGGAGCGCTGTGTGTCAGAGAGCACCAGGAGCAGACCCACTGGCTCTGCCCGCTGCAGGCTCACATCCCCCAGTGTCTGTCCAAGGAAAACCACCCAGGAAAAGGAAAGACTGGTACTGAACATAAAGTAGTAAAATTTCGTTCATTAACTTACTTAAAATTAATTTATCTTTTCAAAGTGCTTCAAAAACAAATTAAATCTGACTCTTCTTTCCGTCTAACTGATAATATAGTCAAAAACTCTTCGATATTTTCATACATAAACTAACATAAGTCAAGAACTCCCACTGATGCAGTGCTTAAAACTATGTATTTATAATTTCCTATTTTATTGGCATGGATATTTCTAAACTTAAAAACCTTCCTGGTAAGTTCTTTTAATTTCTTATGACAAAAATTTCTCACAACACACAAATATTTACAACATATACATCGTTTTCAGTTCTTTACATTGACTTTTAAAGACAAACATTTTTATAGGTTACCACAGAACAAAAGCTGTGACTCATGTTTTTATTTCATAAACTATTATAAGTTAAAGTGAATAGAGTTTTTTAATATTCCTTGTAGCATTTTACAAGTGCAACAGAAAACTTGAAGACCCAAATGAAGATAGCTGTAGTTCATTAAATGTTGCTTGTTGTCATCACATTGTTCACAGCAAATTTTTGAAAAAATAAGCACCAATCATTCTTGCAAAGAACAATTTTATCTAAAAGTATTGAAAAGTGTTAAATACAAGGTCTTTAATTTACATGACAAGCAATAAATACGCTGTATCGAAACTCATCCTGCAACTGCTACCCTCGTACATATAATGTACTGAAAAGTTGGCTGTCACGCATGGGATTGTACTTAAAAAAAAAACAAAAACCAATTTGACTCCTGATGGTCTGCTAGTTAACCAAGGCCACACACAGTACGCCTGGCCAGCAAACAGTGTGGAACTGATCAACTCCAAGGGGACGTCTAGCAAATAAACCAAAAAGCCAAAGGTCATTGCTGGTGATATTAGCATGGACTAGAAAACCTTAATATGCCGCTACTAGGGTTGGTGTGAGTTGCTGTTCAGTCACACATTAAAGAGCCAGCTGATGCTCTTACAGTTAAAACTGTGCGGCCGCATCGCTGTTTTCAGCGCGGAAAGCTGCTCCCACTGCAGTTTGCTGAGCCTTCCCTTGCCAACAGGGCTTCCCTCTGACTCGGAATTGCACGTAAGGAGGCTATTCAAAAAGTACAATAAAAATGCGCGCAAACCAGACCTCAGCCAGTCGGTACGCTGTACACTTTCTACGCGTTATGCCGGGAAGTGAGAAACGAGAGAAGTGCTGCCGCTAACAGGTTTTAGTGGAGGAATAATAGACTGGAATCTTTTATTTTTAAGTAGTTTACGCCAGAGCCTACGCGTTAAGCCTCAAGGACTGATCCTCTCTCCTCCGGGAAGAAATGTCAATATCGATGGCGTCCTTTCCGACGATGAGCCGCAGCCGCTTGGCGGGCGGGAGGGGAATGAAATCGTCTTCGAAGTCGTCGTCGTCGTCGTCCTCGTCGTCGTCGCCCTCGGAGGAAGAGGAGGCGTCCGTGCTGTCTTCCTCGTACGGACTGTAGTCGCCCACCTCCATCTGCGACTCCAGCAGGGACAGCGGGTCCCCGCAGCACACCCCGTTCTCGTGCCGCCCCTCGGCGCACGGCCCCCGGCCCTCCTCGTCCCGCTTGAGCTGGATCTTTAACTTGGTGGCGCTGCTGCCCGGCCCTGAGTTAAACCCGTTATTGAGCTTTGCTACGTAGAGATTACTGTCGTTCTCGTGGTCTTTGCTCAGCTTGATGCTGATCTTGGAGGAGTTCGCCCCGTCGCCCTCGGGGTTGCTGGTCCTGCTGCTGCTGTCGTGCCTCCGGCGCAGCGTCAGCTTGGGGATCCCGGAGCTGTTCTCCAGGATGAGCTGCGCGTCATACCGCGTGATGCGCCTCTTCTTCTTGCTCTTCGCAGCCCTGAAGCCGTCCTTTGCTTTGAAGCTGTCCGCCGTCACCGCCGGGCCGGCCACGGGCGAAGCGGCCCAGGCCGTGTAGCTGCCGGGCGGCCCCTCGGAGCCGCTGTGCTCGCCCTGGTCCGGGAGGGACGCCGGCACACCGGGCCCCGGCCCGGCCTTCCCGGGGGGACTGTGCTCCGGAGTGGACTCCCCCGCCTTCGCCGACTGCCTCACGAGCCGTGACTTCTTTTTCCCAACGCTGCCGTCGCCCCGCGGACACCTCGCCTCCCCGCCGAGCGCGGCGTCACCCGCCAGCTCTCCCTCCTCCTCCTCCTCCTCCGGTGCCGCAGGCGGCGGGTGCTCGCCCTCCGGGCCCGGCTCAGTCACGCTGCTTTCGTAGCCGTAGCCGTCCGGAGTATTTGGTTCAAGCTTGATGTCAGAGGGCTCCTTCAGAACCATTCTCGTCCGTGCAGACCGCCTGGTGGGGTAGGCGCTGGGGGCGCCCTCCCCTGGCGAGGGGGTCCCTCGCCCCGAATTCTGCCTGTGCTCCCTGGCCGCGTGTCTGGTTAAGCACCCACTGGCCGCAGTGGCTGGCACTGGTCCCTCCGACTCCTGGTCTTTAAGGGGCAGATTCTTATACAGAACCACTTTTGGCTCTTTAAGGACTAAGTTTCCCATCTCGAGCTTTCCTGAAGCACTCTTCTGCTCCGGCCGCTTGCAATGGTTTCTTAATTTTACCTTCGAAAGTAAAGGCTTTGCAGGCTTTTTCAGTTTCTTTGGTACCCTGGAATTGTTTAGATGAGTTAGCTTAGATGAGGTAGAGTTGGAAGAAGCTGGAATTCTTGTCATAGATTGCCTTGTTAATGTTCTGCTCTTGCTGGTCTTTTTCACACCAACTGAAGATTTTCGGCTAGAAGCTGCAAAGTTAAAAAAAGAAAGAAAGAAAAAAAGATGAAAAATAGCCTTGATAACACAAAACAGTATCCAAAACCAGACTCCCGGCCATGTGATGCTGTTACACAGCCCGGGCGGACAGACGGCCTGGCTCCTGCCTGCGCATCAGCTCCCGCACTCCCCTCACGTTCTCTTCCTGATCCCAGCCTCTGACCACGAGCATCTACTCCCTCCGAAAGGGGTGTCTGAGGAGCTCCCGCTACCAAGCACCTAGATTCCACTCTGCATGTCCTTCATCTACCATGATGCTGGTCAAAATAAGTATTTCTTTTCGACTTAGTATTTCACCATGTAAAAGATTTGAAGGTGGATCTAAGGGGAAAAATCATAGTTTTATTTTCTTCCACAAATTCTTAAAATAATCATTTTAAATAGGTTTCTAAAATCCAACTATTCGTTAACTCAGGAAATAGATTGCAAATGGGCTCAGAGACACTTTCTATTCCAACAGTTTCAACAAGAGATGGAGGAACCACGTGTGTGTCCTGACACCGCCCAGAGAACTGCCAGCTGAACCCTCTCCCCGAGGCGCTGGGAGTCAGCAGTCACCTGGCCCGGCCCGCCCTCCCGCGCCTGCTCCTGCCCACCATCACACTGAGAGGAGAAGCATGCCGCCACAATTCCTCTCAAGACAAGGGGTTCCAACTCCTTCCTCCGGACAAGGACAGGAAGGCTGGGGTGATCCTACTGGGAACTGAGTGACAAACGAAGGGCTTCCCAAAAGGCGTACGTGCGACAGTAAGCTGCACCCTGAGGACCTCTGACCTTCCGCTGACCAGCTCCATCTGTCTTCCTTTGCGTTTACCTTTGCACCTACACAGGGTCTTACAGGAGTCAATTTCTCAGCTTCCCATACTCCCCACCCGAAAACCTCATCCCCATCAAAACACCCCTTTTCAACCATTCACAGAGAAGCTGAGAAACCAAACCGCCTCGTCTCATCAGAAAACAAGGAAACAGGAAACAACGAATGTGGGTCAGTCCAGCGCACTGCCGGGCAAAGATGGTCCTTACTGCATGCCCGGAGGTGGCCAGGGTGACGGCTGTTCCCTCTGCGTGGCTGAGCAAGTTCGCCACCGTTAGTCAGTCTTTACGGAGAACCAGAATGAGTAACAAGCACTCCGAGCATCACCCGAGAACGGGGCTCTGTACTCAAGGCGGGCCCCCAAATGGAGTTGAGGGACCCAAACCAGCAGAATCCCCAGAAATGAGGCCCCTATTTTTTGAAGAACAGGAGTAATTCTGGATGCCATTCCCTTTGAGAACGTGTATATGAACTGGAATCATACAGAACTGGCTGGAAATGATTTTTAAAATATGAGGATATTTGGGGAATTCTTCGGTTAAAGAATTTCTGCTTTCAAGGCTTCCTTCAAGGTGGAACTGGTAGAGGCACTTATTGGCTTGTTTTTTAAAATGTATTTTTATTGACTTCAGAGACGAAGGGAGAGGGAGAGAGAGGAAAAAAAATCAATGACGAGAACCAACAGTCAGCTGCTTCCTGCATGCTGGGGATCAAACCCTCAACCCGGGCCTGTGCCCTGACCAAGAACCGAGCCATGACCTCCTGGTTCATAGGCCGATGCTCCACCACAGCCGCACCAGGAGGCCCCCGTGTTTACTGACAGAAGTCCACACCAGTGCTCTGCGCTCGGCTTTCTCGGTCGCCTAAGGGGTCCTCTGCCAGCCTGACTCTTCCAGGACCATTCCATGGCCACGCTTAGTGTTCTCATTTCACGCCTGCAGTCACTGTGCTCTATAGTCACACACACACTGCGTTCTCCACAGCGATCCCCCGAGATCGGGACCCAGCCCGTCCCCCACACGAGCGCCTGGCCAATCTCTGACCACCGCCAGGTCGTTAAACCCAGGGAGCACCTTCCACCCTCACCTTCCTTTGCAGAATGTGATGTTGCTGACGTTCGTTTTCCTGGGAAACCCTCTCCCCTCCGCTGTCCCCGAGAACACTCGCCCTCCACCTGCCCACACGGACACCACAGCCCTCAGGCCTGTGCTGTGCCAGGCCCTTGGAAAGCCGGCCTCCTGGTGAGAGGCGCCCACCCCCTTCCTGAGCCACGATCTCTCACCCGATTCTCTCCTTAGTCACAGACCCACCGCCAAATACCCGCTGGCATCGGGTCTCCCCAAGGCTGCCGTAGCCCCCTGGACATGCTCACACTGAACTTCTCCACCTGTCACCCTGGGCCCCGGGGGCCACTCCTGACGCCTGCTTTCCCTCACGGCCTCACCAGCAGCCGCCAGGTCCCTGGAGGCCATTCCTGCACGTCTCTCCACTGTCAATGCACAGCCGCCTGCCTGAATGAGGGCAACAGCTCCACCTTTTTTTTTTTTTTACAGAGAGAGAGAGAGAGAGAGAGAGAGAGAGAGAGAGCGCGCGCGAGCGAGCGCGAGCTAGACACATCAATGAGAGAAAATTCCACCAGCTGCCTCCTGCACACATTCTACTGGGACTGTGCCTGCAACCACGGTACATGCCCTTGACTGGAATAGAACCTGGGACCTTTCAGTCCGCAGGCCAACGCTCTATCCACTGAGCCACACCGGTTAGGGCCACCTTTTTTTCTCTCTCTCCTACTGCTCCCCCAACATCCCATTCTCCACCATGCGGACAGAATGATCTTCCTAGTACCCAGGCCACTTCTGGGATTTAAACCTTTTAATAAGCGAATGCTCTAAGAATCAAATCCAACATTTTAAGTTGTGCTCACATCCTTTCTTCCTACCTTCAATTCCGCCCATGATAAACTTCACTTATTCAAGCTCTACATGCATCTCTTTATATATAATGAATACATAATTTTAAAATAAAGTCCCTCTGCTTCGAATGGCTTCATGTGGCCAGCTTCTCACCCTCTGCAGTTCAGAGGAACCACGCCTCCCCGGAGCCTGTCCAGCCGCCTACAGAGGACGGGGTGCTCTCACTGTCTTCGTGCGGCCCCTTACTGGGACGATTTGAAGCCATCAGATGAAACCTCATTTCATGGTGATTCTGGTGCTCGCCTCTCCTCTCACACGCCTTCTTCCCATGGAACCACTGTTAGCTGTCCATGTGGGTGTTCGTTCTCAGCAGCTCAAAATAGACGATTTGATGCTACGACTTGTTTCCCTTCGGTTATGTAATTAGAGTGTATTCTCATCTTGTCTAAAAAGCATGACCTCATCAAAAGCCCAACTAAAACGTGTGCTTACCAAGCCCAAGGTCAAAACGGACACAGGCGCGCTGGGCAGAGGTGTGAGCAAGTGGCCAGACCAGAGGGTGGCACGAGGCAAGGCTCTTCACTGCCCCCAAAGGGCCACACTGTGCTTGGGCTCTGAGGCATCAGTGACAGAGGGTTCTGACGCAGGCGGTACGGTGGCCCTGGCACCAGCACTCACACCAGGCGTGACTTCCCCCCTGGCCGGGACAGACCTCCAATGCTTAGCCTGCCCTAACTGGGTGAAAACACACTCTTAACCATTATGATGTAGCAGGTCGGGCAGACGGCCACCTTAGCACGATCTCGATGCCGACAGGCATCTTTTGGAGCCAGGGCGGTTACGCTATGGCACAGAGCTCACGTGGACCGGTGTGCCTATGACCGTCCATCTGCGAGCGGCAGGGGTGGGGTTTGAACTGAGGAAATGGTTTAAGATCCCAGTTGTTCAGCGCTGCCTCTCAGGCAGCCACCACAGCGCGTGGGACAGGAGCCTCGCGGCCCTCCGTCACTTCAGGCTCCTCCGATCACAGCAGCCCTGCCGGGCTTCAGGGGCTGCAGGCAGATACAAGAGCGGCCCCGAACCCCAAGCTCCCGCGGGCCAGGCCTGTGCCCCCTCTGCGCTGGCGACGCCCGGGAGCACCGTCACGAGGTGACGCAAGGACCACACACGGCTGACACTTCAGAACTCGAGCAGCCAGCTCCTCCGTCTTGTGTGACCACAGACCGGCAGCAGCTCCCGCCTGGGCCTGCGGCTGTGACAGGAGAGAAGCAGGGACGCACCCCTGCCTCCGGGACAGCAGTCCTTAGTTAGGAGCAGCTTAGCCACTGGCCACGTCTCCGCTCTGCACCGACCTGAGGCATTGGCAGTGACACACATTCCGTATCACGGCACCGACTGTGGGCAGTGCCCAGCCATCCAGGCACAAGAACCTAAAACATGGGAATCTTCCAATAATGGCACAATTCAGGCACGTAAACGGAATTTGTGAGAAGGATTTCTCATCCGGCTGGTGTGGGTCAATGGTTATGTGTTGACCCATAAATCAGGTCACAATTTAATTCCCAGTCAGGGTACATGCCAGATTGTGGGCTCAATTCCCAGTAGGAAGCATGCGGGAGGCAACTGATCGATTATTCTTTCATCGTTGATATTTCTAATTACCTCTCTCAGAAATCATCAAAAACATACTTAAAAAAACACACAAAAAAAAACACCCATACTTAAAAAAATACTATTATTTTTTTAAAAAATATTTTATTAATTTTTTACAGAGAGGAAGAGAGAGGTGTAGAGAGCTAGAAACATCAACCAGCTGCCTCCTGCACGCCCCCTATGGGGGATGTGCTCGCAACCAAGATACATGTCCTTGACTGGAATCGATCCTGGGACCTTTCAGTCCACAGACCAGCGCTCTATCCACTGAGCCACACCGGTTTGGGGGGAGAAAAACTTTTAAAAAAGGACTTGTTTCCGCTCTGTAGATGCTAAGCAAACAGGCTGTGGCTCTGAGATGCCATTCGGACCCGGCCCTGGCCCTGGCAGGAGGGCTCATTGGGGCGGGGCGTCACCCAAACAAAAGGGGGTGGTCTGATTCCAGTCAGGCCACATACCTGGGTCTTGGGTCCGATCCCACATCAGGGCGTGCATGGAAGCTACTGACGGATGTTTCTCTCACATCTCAATGTCTCTGTCTCCCCCTCCCTGCCTCCCTCTGAAGTCAATGGAAATGAAACATCCTCGGACAGGATTACATTTTTTAAACAATCTGTGTGGAAGGAAGAACTTTTCTTCCCACTAGGCAGAACTGTTTAAGACTATCACCCTGCTCAAGGAAAGCAGCTCCTCCACTGGCCACTGAATCCCAGACAGGCTGCAGCATCCGTGGGCGGCCACACAGGGAGTCACTGCCTCGGCGGGCACCGCCGCCCTCAGCACCAAGGCTCAGGCGCTGGCTCTGCCACCAGCTGCGTTACCAGGTCCCCCCCTCACACGCTTAGGAGGCTGTTTGTTTAAGACACAAGCACCAAAGAAACACAGCCTAAGAGAATGCATGGCAGAGTCTGAGAAAACACTGCGTGAACGTGGCTGAGTGTATGCTGGCCAAGGAGGTGGCTGGAGTAAGCCTGGAACTGGTCAGAGCACCGAGCACGCCCACCACATGCCCTCAGCCAGCACACCAACGCCGAGGCCGGCAGTCAGAGGCCGGCAGCCAGCCGTTCTGCAGAAAGAGGCTGAAGGAAGCCAGTGGCCCAGTCCGCGGCCGCTGGGAAGTGAGCGCCTGTCTGCGATGCTGAGACCACAGCTGAGGGTCCTGCTCCCTCTGCACGTTAGGAAGGCTCTGGTGTGACCTGTGCCCCTCCCGTCCTGGGACTAGGGCATGAGCTCCCCGAGGGCGGGGCTGAGTCTCCTACACATATGTCTCTTCAACAACTACCAGGCTTTTAGTAAGTACTAATATTTAGTTTATTAAAAAATATCCCAGTGGTCACTTAGTAATATACTCAAAACCTTCCAATAATATTTGTGTTCCAATCTTTTAAACTAAGTGGTGAACTGAGTTCGGAATCTATGCATTGGAAGTAGTTAATGCATAAGAACACAAAACACCCACAAATGCCAAGAGCCAATCAGTGTGGACAGCACGGTGGCCGTCTCACAGAGACCTCACAAGCCTCCCGTCTCACAAGGAACCACACTCGGAAAACAAAGTGATTGTGCGGCATTTATTATTAGTACCAACAGTCCGCAGGGAGTGACGGACTAACTGCTCTTGTTCACGTTGGACATTTTTACGAACCGGACACACAGGATCACACTAAGGAGGCGGCAGCAGCAGGTTTGGGCACTCATGGCAGGGAGCCCTGCCCTGGGGGGCACGCCCGCTCTTTGGGACTGTCTGCCCGGAGGGGAGCACCAGTGCGGGGGGGAGCACGTGTGAGAACAGAGAAGCGCTGAAATAACGAGGCCTCAGAGGGCACAGGCACTGGAAGTATCTGAGCATTCAGTGCCCAAACCGGCATACACCGGGGGTCACCAGCCAACACTTGCGAACTCAATGCCTGTCCGACGTCAGGTGGACTGAAGCTACCATCCGAGCGGAGCCAGAGACACTGGCATCGCCGGTGAAACAGCCGCATCAGAAGTCCCGGCCTCCAAACTCCGGCAGGATGAGGTGTTTTCTTCTGTTCGCTCAGGCTTTCTTCTCTTTCCTCTCCTCTTCCTTCTCTCTCTTTCCAGTTCTATCAGGTCTTGCGCCCCCTTCCCTGGCCTGGCATCTTAAAGCTTGCTTCTTTCTCCTTTGGTTACTTTTGTTAGTGGCTGATATGTCAGCACACTGACATCTAAGCCTGGTAACTAACGGCTCAGTAAATGGGTCCGTTCATTTTGAAAAAAGATAAGTAGTAAAAAAGGCGGGGACCTTGAAGCCAGAAGCTATCACTCCGCAGCCCATCCTCCACCCCAGCAGGCTGGCTGGGCCCAGAAACACGAGTGCCCGTCAGATCCCACCCGGCCCGTCTTCTCAGAAGACATGATAGAATTATGGTGAAACTAGCAGCTGAAAATGTTTCTTTCAAACATATATGACGACCCTGGAACACAGGCTGAAGGTGGTAACATCAGTTACCCAGGAGCCAAGAAAAGCAGACGGTCAGTCTGGATGAGCGCCTGCACTCGGAGGCCAGCACAGCCGCTTCTGTGGCAGAGCGTTTCTAGAATCTTGCGAAGCTGCTGGAGTGCACGAGTCCCAGGGCTTCTCTCAATTCTTAAGAGATCAAAACTATTGAAACACACTTTAGAGAACAAACTGTGTGAAAACACAAGAGAAGATGCTTTCAAATCTCCCTTACTTACTTGCATTGTGTTTTTCCTGAGTGGTATCTGCATCAGTGTTAGAGCTGACCGATTGGCTGTCTGAGTTTTTGCTGCTGTCACCTAACTTTTTAAGCCTATTTAAACGTTTATCTGTTTCTCTGAGTCCATATTTGCTATTGATAACAGGAGCAGGCGCAGGCAGTCCCACTCTGGATTTGAAAGCACCAGTTCCTCGTCTGAAAGAGAAAACAGCACACGTCAGACAAACAGCGTACTTACTCACCATACGATCGGCTGCCGAGGGTTCTGGCCACATCAGATTAGATGTGATGAACTGAGGAGGCCTCAACCATCTCTGGAAATTTACCAAGTCTAGGACTCTCAAAAGGAATTAAGTATATATATAAAATCACCAAAAAGCTCTAAACTTAAAATCACAAAACCAATTGTTATGACTATTGTCAATTATTAACTGCCCATGGAAAACCATTGAACCCTATAGAATTTCATGTGTAGATAACTAAATCTTCAATTTCAAAACTGGTTGGTGCAATATAGTTAGGTCTAAATTGTGGCTTAAATAACCCACCTGTTAAGCATATTCTAGCTTTTTCCTGCACAATTTAACACTACATCACTGAATATTGAGAATTATAAATAAAAAAAAAACAACCCAGAGAATTTCCATAAATGAGGCATTACTTAGAACTGAATGTTAGATACAAATTCCAGCTGAAATTCTGTCTAAGAAGGCTAGGCTGTATTAATGCAAGTCTCACTTTCTGAACTATAAAAATTATTAAATGATTCTTTATAATTCGTGAATTAAACATAAATGACCACAATCCTATATAATAAAAGCCTAACAGGCTAAGTGTCCGCTCATCCATTCAGCCAAAGTGTAATATGCTAATGTATGCTAAAGCCATTCAGGTACTCACTATGATGTGCACTGACCACCAGAGGGCAGATGCTCCAACAGTAGTTAGCTTGCTGCTGGGGTCTGGCCAATCGGGACTGAGACAGGCCAGACACGCCTTGGAGCTCTCCCACAATCCCTCCCAGCTGGCCAACCTCCCACGTCCTTCCCTGGCCCCAATTGTGCACCGGTGGGGTCCCTCGACCTGGCCTGCACCCTCTCACAATCCGGGACCCCTCAGGGGACGTCAGAGAGACAATTTTGGCCTGATCCTGCAGGCCAGGCAGAGGGACCCCACTGATACATGAATTTGTGCACTGAGCCTCTAGTTAAGTTATAAAAATGTTGCTAGCCGAAACCGGTGTGGCTCAGTGGATAGAGCGTCGGCCTGCAGACTATAAAATATACTAAAAAAAAAAAAAGTTGCTAAATAAGACACTAAAAGACTTGCTTTTCCCACAGGATAAGAACAATTTCTAACCGGCTCTATTTGTATTGACGTAATTTTTCTGAAGTGAGGGTACTTACTAAGAGTTCTTAAACTTCCCAAAGGAATCTAGTTTTACAAAGCTTTGCTTTATTCAGTGTATAAAAAAAAATTCCTATCCAGTTCTATTCAAAAGAGTAAGTAAATCATATGTTAAGAGGTTTTTTTTTGTTAAAAAAATATATTTTATTGATTTTGTACAGAGAGGAAGGGAGAGAGATAGAGAGTTAGAAACATCGATGAGAGAGAATCATCGATCAGCTGCCTCTTGCACACCCCCCACTGGGGATATGCCCGCAACCAAGGTACATGCCCTTGACCGGAATCGAACTCGGGACCCTTCAGTCCCCAAGCCGACGCTCTATCCACTGAGCCAAACCGGTCCCGGCTATATGTTAAGAGGTTTTTAAAAAGCACTTAAGTTTCTGAATTTGCAACAGGGCCACCTTACTGCCTTACTACCTTTCTCTACAGGGTGGCTGTGAGGACTGAATGAGTCAACACCAGTCGGTCCAGGGCGGTGCAAGGCACGCGAAACGGGTTCAACAGACGTTCCGGCGCCTCCTGCAGCGCCACCCGGACAGGCGGGGGCTGCGCTGGGAGCTCCCGGTGCGGTGCAGAGCCACTGCAGTGAGCCGTGCGAACACTGCTTCCACGGCAGGGCTGGGACCTCCACAAGGACTCCAAAACCTGGCTGGTCCTACAAAGAGGTTTCTTGCTAAGTGACAGAACTTAGGAATTATGAAGAGTATGTGCATTAAAAAGAAAATATTCCAGAGGATAATACACAAGATTATGTCAGGGTTTTTACGTCTGTCAGCAGTTGAAATTCACTTGCCATGTTCAGGGCAAACCCCCTGGCTGTGCGGTGGCTGTGTGTGTGTATGTGTGTAAGGTATTTCCCATTCTCTACTGACGCACATTTGAATTCTGATCCATTCATAAGAACAGCTGGTAATAATATTTTTAAGGGTCAGGTGCTAGTGCCTTTGAAAGTTAAGGACCTTTGGTTTTGTTTATGCTGCTACTGGCTACAATGCTCTAGAATGTAGAGGACTATTCCTGCATTTAAATAATGAGGAGATAATGGGACTTCATGCCCACGCTCATCAGGTGGTTAAGAGAATGGAAAAGCTGAACATCTTACTTAATTCTTTACCTTTCGCACGTGTAACACTCGCAGAACTCATTATTTTCTCCAAAAAACCCATCTCCATAATAACAAGAGATTTCTTCTCCGGGTTCAATATCTCGCAGAGCCTTCACACACGCTGTATCTCGACCAGTGGACACGAACTGAAATAAAATGAACTCATTAAGAAACTCGTACCTAAAGCAAAAACTGAACACTTGAGATAGACAGTTTTTATGCTTACCTTACAGTTAGGTCTGCAATCTGAAAAATGTCCAAAAATAAAGTCAATTAACTGTAGATAAGATCTGAAACACGAACAATTACAGAAATCTGAAATAAGCTTTCCATGTAATTTCACAACCTTTGATAGAAGTTATGTCTTCAGTTAAACTACAGGAACATTTCCGTTAGTAACTCGGAGCGGGGGACATATTCTCAGCCTGCTTTACAGGAAGATGAGGGCTCAGTGCTATGCCGTTCGGACGGAGCAGAGCCGCCCCACACCCGTGCTGACGGCGGAGGAAGAGCGCTTACCGTGGTTTATAAACGCGGCCGGGCCGAGCCAGAGCTGAGCACAGTTTTTCCTGGTGGAATACATGACACTGAAGTCGTTCTCTCCGTGTCTAAGCAGCATGTTCTCCTCAATTTCTGAAAGTTCGGCAATACAACCCACCAGTAATTCTATTTTGTCATTTCGTTTCCTATTTAAAATATGTGATGTTAAAAATTACTAGTAATTATGAATAAGGCTTCTTTTATTAAAACAAGCCTGTCCAATAAGCTCCCAAGCATCGGAAGACCCAGCTCTGCATGTTGTAGCTGACTTGCTTGGATCCCCGCCGGGAAGCCCAGAGCCTGTGCCGTGTGCTGTGCAGCCATGGACCTGCTCATTCCTCCCGAGGCTCAGAGCCCTCCGAGACAGGCTGTGCCTATCATGTCTCAAACACCGCAGCGCCCAGCGCAGTGTCTGCGGCAGCAAAAACTCCATTCCTGCCGGCGGAACTCAGCTTGCTGACACTGGGTGAAGGAGACACGGATGAGTGTGGGAAGAGCCATGAGGATCCAGAATTGGGATGCTATCCTCTAGAGCAGTGTTTCCCAGAGTGTGGTACGCGGACCCCAGGGGCACGGGAAGAGTTTGGTGGGGGCACGCGTTGCACCGGAGTTTGGTGGGGATATGCACTGCACCGTGCTTAGCTGCGCCTAATTCTACGTTCTCATGATACGAGGGGTACTCAGCGTTACGGAAATTATAGAAGGGGACACATGTCAAAAGTTTGGGAAACACTACAGAGCAGCACCATCCCACAGACAGAATGCAAACCAAGCACAGAATCTTCAGTTTCCTAACAGCCACTTTAAGAAAGTAAAAACCCGTGAAATTACTTTTAGCAATATATTTTAGCCCAATAAACCCCAAATTCTATTTCAGCAGGTCATGGGGCTAAGAAATATTAACACAAACTTTAGTTTCGTATGAAATCTGGCATGTGTATCACATTGACTGCACTTCTCAATTCCGACTTGCCACATTTCAAGAGCTCAAGAGCCACATGTGGTTGGTGGCTACTGTACTGACAGCGCAGCTCTAGGACCGAGATCTCGCACCTCCACACCCCCTGACACACAGGGGGCCATGGAGCTGGCAACAGGCGTATCATCCCGAGAAGATGCACTCACACACACACACACGCCCATCGAGCCTGAGAGTAATGCTCTTTGCCCTCCACTTCCAGGCACTTGACCCTATAATTTCTATATAGAATATATTAGGGTGGTATACGGAAGGGGCTACATGTTTCTTTTGGGAGAAAAGGTAGGGAACAGGCATCAGAGGAAGAAGATATAACCTCACTCTCTCTTTTCCATATGCTGTCACCATTCAAACGGGCTCAATGTTACCATTTGAATTCCATCTGTCTATGTATTTTTAAAGCAAGCAATGTGTTAAGAAATTCCCACCTGCCAACTCCCTAGGATCATGAAGGCTCCATACCCAACTTTTCTCCCAGGCCAGTAAAGGACCAGCTCCAGAAGCCAGGCTGTCCAACCCTGGCCTCCCTAACCTTTCAGTAGCCCGTTATTGAGCAAGGCACCCGGATTCAACCAAAAGAAAACAAAACACACTTCAGCTCAGACACAGAATCTGGCCAACGCAGACTTCCAGTTCTAAACAACAAGGATGGAATAAGGAGCCAAGGCACCCGCCTGCCTGTTCCTCTGGGTGAGCCCCGCTCCATCCCTTCCGGACTTCCTTAGCACTTCACAGTGAGTCAGAGAGAACTGCAAATAACATTACTTTATGGGTTTATACTAGTGCAATAGTTACCACTCTTTCGTTGCAACTATTTTGGCTCCATTTTGTTCTGATGAGTATCTATTACAAGGCAGTATTTCAAATCCACTATCAGTTGCAAACATTCTCAAGTAAATGAACACCTAAAAAAGAAAAAATTTGACATTAACTTTATAGTAAACTGTTTGTCCTGCTAGACTTTCAAAGAACTATAAAAGCAAACCATGAACAATATAAAAATGTTGCACTTTTAAAATACTTTGTTGATATTTCAACATTTCACATATTTGAGTACCAAATGGCATGGCTATGTTACTCTGAAAGCTCACAACAAATTTCACTTCTGATGACAAAGTTTTCTCTTTGGACAGTCAAAGGATCCTATGTTATTAGATCTTCATACAATTAGTTTCACAAAAACTGGTTTCAAGTTTTCACCAAAATGTAGGCTTTAGTTTCCTTATTCCTATGCAAACATATAAACAGTATTCATCTTATCAATAGACCTACGTGTTCCTTGAATAGCTTCTCCTGCATTTTGTTCTTGTTGAGGAAATAGTGTCGCGCCCATTCGCCGGAAGTCAAACATTTGAAGGCTTTCTCCAAGTGCTCATCCTTCTTAAAACGCTCAATGACTTCCTTCAGCTCTTCTTGCCTTCCTTTAATAGGCCGGAATCTGAACAAAATCAAGACAGTAACTTTAATTATCTGCCATCACTCTTGGGCCACTATTAAGAGATACTGAGAAAGATATAGTAACCTAAAAACTGCCAGACAGAACAAAAGAAAACATTCAATAATCTTGATAATTACTCCTCAAGTAATATTAACCACCAGGGAACAATTTCTCTGTCTTCAAAATGCATTTTGATATTGTTATTTCACTGTTATCTCAGTAACTGAGAAGGAACCCGATGATTCAAGTGAATGCTCTCTCTTCAGGCTTATTCCAGTCTGAGGTACAAAATGGAAGACCTACAAAGAGCTCAGCTAACTGTGTGTTAGAGGGACAACTTTTAAAAACACCAGAATCAACCAGAAGAATGACGAAGCAAACAAAACCATGCCGCTAACACAGCAGCCTCTGTGCAGTCAGACCCCAAACCAAGTACCCCGTGAGCCCTGACATACTGTACAGCCTGATGTTCCAGCACCATGCCAACTGATCTCTGACAACTGCAGTCAGAGAACAAAAAGAGGGCAAAAGAACTACTGCTGTATGGTGCACAAGGAAAAACAGTTGGAGTACCATTATAAAAGGCTTCTAGTAATAAAATTAGCTATAATGACTTCAGCATATTACATTTCTAGTCATAAAATAACACACAATACAATCATAGTCCAAGTAAAATTAAGTCTGCAAGTCCCTCATTCTAAAGTAGTGCTCTCAATTAAAGGCACTTAAATCTTAATTTCAAAATGTCACCCTGGCAGGTGTGGCTCTGTTGGTTGAATGTCATTCAGTACAATGAAAGATCACTGGTTCAATTCCCAGTTAGGACATGTGCCTAGGTTGTGGGTTCAAGCCCCCCCCCAACCCCCCTCGGCCCCGCCATTGGGATATGTGCAGGAGGCAACCGATTGGTGTTTCTCACATCCATCTTTCTCTCTCTCCCCCTCCTTCTCTCTTTCTAAAACTAAATATTTAAATATTAAAAAAAAAAGTCTTTTCATGTCAATTTCATTTGGCTTATTTTCCCAAATAAAGTTTTAAAAAATCCAACCAAAAAATGGAATTACAGACTGCTATTCAAATAGAATACATTAAGAAAAAAAATATTAAAGACCAGGAAAAAGGATTTGAACTATGCACCCTACTCTACCAACTGAAACTGTGCACTTCATAAATCTGAAAATGCTAAAACTGAGATAAGACCTAGGAAAGGAAGCACTCAAGCGAGGTTTTTTTCTAGATGAGCTACCATAATTGTATTCATAACGTTTCAGTAAAATGTTAAGTCACAATATTTTACCAAGGCTCATTTATTAGGTGCTGTGTACACACAGGTGTTATGGTGAAGGGACAGACTAGCCACTGCTCTTACAGGGAAAATGTGTCCGGGACTAAAAGACATACACATGCATCAACAGTTAAGCAAAGCAGCGCTAGGCAAATGCAGGTCACTGTGGTACAACCTGCACCCCAGCACTTTAAAGCATGGAAATCATAACTAAAGTGCAGATACATCTGGGCAGTAAGGAGAGGAAGAATTCAGCTTTCCAGAACAGGCAGGAAAGAATCAGAGGAGGGCAGGCACAGGGAGAGGGAATTTAAGCAGAGCATCTTAAGGCTACATTCAAAGAGGCGAACAGGGACAGAGGGCATCAGCTGGGCAACAGCAGCAGAGGACAGAACAGGAAGAGAGAAGAGATACCACCACTGACGACAGGGCTTCTGGGGACTTCAGATGCATTAATGCACGCTGACCCCTCCAGGAACTGTCTAGCTCAGACTATAGTTTCAGGAAGCTCTCACAACTACAGAGCAGAACCGTCAGAGAGAGTTCAAACTATCTGTCCCAGAGACGTCATGTAAAGAAATGGACATCAAATTTTATTTTTCGTGTTTTATTAGTGTACCTGCTCTGGCAGATAGACGAGTGGATGTCCTTTAAACAATTCAGAATGCGTTTAACTAAGATTGTCAAAATATGATGTCAAAATAGTCTAAAGACTTGCATAATTGTGAAAGTTTGCAAACTTCCATCCAGTTATAATATTAAACGACTTGTAGATATCACAAGTGATTTTTATCCAGATTGGGTTTCTTTGACATTCTTGCTGCAAAGCTACACTAGGAGTGTTTGCACATGCCACTTCACACAAACAAAATGTGAAATGTCAGGAAATGGATAACCCGTGTTTCATGCAGAGAACAGAAAAGCCAATCCTAGTACCTCACTCTGAGCAAACACAATGTATAACCATGTTAGTGCTCCAGACGGCAGAAAAAGAACCCCGCAATCCTGGTGTCCACCATGGAAGTGCCCAGTGACACCCTATTTAAGACAATTGCATGGCTCAACACATTAGCAAGCAAGTCAGAGTCAGGCTGGCTTCCCTGCGTTTCCAGGACACGCAGCCCCGGAGTGGATGCCGGCTGTTCCTATGGGCTCAGTGCGCTCACTCCTGAGACCGCTGCTTCCGCCTAAAGACGCCTTTCAGCTGTCGGAGCTTTGTTACTCCTTGTTCATGATGCCAATTTATATGCTAAAACCAACACAAGAGAATCTACTCTTGATTTAGCTATAGTCTGCTTTTCTGAATCAAACACAAGCAAACTGTTACTTACCAATAGCAAGAACCTCCATTTCACTTAAAATATATCAAACTTCCTGTCACAGCTGGCTGATATAGGCGTGAAATGAAAGTGAGGAAAGGAAGAGAAGGGGTCTGGGTGCAGACAGGAAGAGGAAGAGGCAGCTGTTTTCAATGACCTGACCAAAACCCAGTAAATCACCAGGCTGGTGGTTCAAGCAAACCCCAGCAAAGCAAACACTGCCGGGGAAATAAACTTACTTACTAGCATAAGACTGTCACACTGTTAGGACCAGGCGAACAGCAATGAAGATGTTTAAAAACATTAAAATAACTGTCTATCATGAGTAGAAAATACCCTCTGCCCTCCTTCATCACCATCGCTGTAGATCTCTCACCGCACAAAGCTCTCCTCGCCATGGCTCTTAAAGCCAGGAGAAAACACAGGCTGCCTGAGCAGCCTCTGGTCCAGCGAGTGAGGAAAAGGAGGCCCTGAGGGCTGGCGAAGGGAAGCCTTTCCCAGCAGCTCTTGTGCGGATTCAGGGCGCTCTCGTGTGGTTTCACGCAGAAAAGGACTTGACTTGTGTCTGCCATGGAACACCAGCCCGGAGCCCAGGCAGCGAGAGCGCTGCTGGTATTCTAGCAATTCAGTGAAAGGTTCTATACACTTCTACATCTGGCACATGGGGGTGGAGTGGGTGTTAGGGGAGGCGAGAGAAACAGGAACCTGGTATTTCCAAGTCAATGTGCCCCTCCTCTAACACAAAGTTTGCTACTTTAAATAAACCAAACATTTCTTTTCTCTCTTCCCACACCTCTGATGAATGGCTGCTATAAGAAAACAGTCATTTACAATCATTATTATTAAAAGGGGCAGGAAAACACATGGATTCATACTCCCACACACCTGTTCCCCACTCTTTCCAGAGACTGCCTTCCCAGGTTCCTGGCTATCTGGTTTTTCTGTGTCCGAACCCAAGAGAGCACTGGGCAATGAAGAGGGCGGTGGGTCTGTGTTAGCTGCACTATGTCCCCTCCAGAGCATGTACAACAAGAGCTGACTGGAGGAGGGGGAGGAGAGGAGGACGGGAAAAGGGGAGCAAGGGAAGGAGAGAGGAAAAGAGAGAAAAATGCTCAAATATTTAAGATATAAAATAAGAAACCATGAGGCAACACTGAACACATTTCCCCTTTGAAGAAAGCTGGACTGCACACTGACAGGCGCAGGGCCGAGGAGGGGGAGGCCGGCCAGAGCCAGCTCTGCTCCTTCTTCACCTGCAGACAGGCAGCCACCGGACACGTACCTGGCCGAGTCTGCACTCAATGCTCAGCTAGTCCAGGGAGTGATTCCTGATCTTTGATGAAAGATTTCTCTTAAAATTACCCTGTTATGGAGTACAAGTCATTTTTTTAAAATACAACTATGACTAAGACCGAACTATTTTAAAAGGTTTGCAACATATTCTGAAAATCATGCTTATGCCAACACCGCCATTATTTAACACCAAAGAACATCATACAGGCTGTGACGGTGAGCGGGCACCTTATCATTGTCTGTAATGCATTCTACCTACCTCACAGGGCTGTTGTGAGGAAAACTGTCAGACTTTGAAAAGTGCCTTGAGCTCCTCGAAGGAAAGGCGCTGCTATGGAAATGCAAAAACAAACAACAATGAAAACTATTTGTACAACCTGGACTTGTCATCTCTAAGCAGATTTACAATATGAGCTGTTGCAAAAATCCTTAAGACACTGTGTTCCAGTCTCAGCAGGACAAAAGCCGGATGCTAAAACCCTTTCTTCCCACAGAACACCGTTCACATTATACCGAGTCAGAAGATTTAAGAATTCCTTTATGCTTTCTAGTCAAGCACTTAATTTCAAAGTGACACTTAACGTGATTTATAAATTCATATCCAACAGAGGATATAAATACAAAATCAAATACATAAAGTAAAATAAAATTAGTTACAGTAGTAGAAGGATGAGCAAGGACTATACAGACTGCAGTTTGGATCAGAAAAATTCCAAAGAAAAAGTGACTCTTGCATTTCTTTATAACATTATTTCCTGCTCAGCTCCTTCCAAGTCGCCCATCCTCAGGATACTGCCCAGCCTCTGGCTTCTACAGCCTCCACAAGGGGCATGACTGAAGCACCTGTTCCGGTATGTCTCCTTTTTCCACAACTGACCCCCCACCCAGCCATTCACACCCTGGGCAAGCCCCCAGTGTCTGTGTCCATTGGTTAAGCATCTTAAGATTTACCAAGTAACTCCCATAAACTAATTACCAAGGAGGATTTTATAGAAAACTCACTGACCACCAGAGGCAGCTCCTGTGAAGTCTGCCCCCTGGTGGTCAGTGTGTGTCATAGTGACTAGTCATTCTGCCGTTCAATTTGCATATTGGTTTTTTATTATATAGGATAGGACAGGACTTATTTCCCAGTAACAGGTAAGCTTTCATCCTCTGGAATAGTCAAAGCATGGGGATTCTGCACACACAGATTTCTTTCCTAAAGCCACTAAAAACACTTTATAATTTTGTTGGAACACTTTCTAAAACGGTTTATATGCTTCCATATTTCAGTATATAAGGCTTAATGAAGATAATACCTTTCTTGATGACTCCAGGTCATAATTATAGGCCTTTGCAGTAAAATCCTGAATGCTACTACTATTGTAGATTGTTATGAGAATCAGTGATTCACATTTCTTAACTCAGGGGGGAAAAAAGGCTAACAGATGGCTTATATGCTATCAGGATCCTCTGCAGGCATGTCAAACTCGTGGACTCTTGGCCGACAGGCCAGTTTGACATGCTTGCTCTGGAGTGGCCAGGTCTGCTGTGTTTACTGAGGGAAAAAAGGGAAATGGACTTAATACAATACAAACTAGACTTTACGAGGACACTATGGCATTTTGAGGCTGCCGACTTCCCAGAGGACAGCCATCTGTCTCCTATTAAGAAAATTTAGATATCTGCCCCTCTGAAGGCAGGGAACTATTTAAAGAACCTCTCAAGTCCATCCCAGCTTTTCACTTCATTTTACTAAGTAAAGACACATGATGACTGAAAATTACATGAAAATACCAATTTTCTGGTATTTTGGCTGGGGGGGGGGGGGTGTCAGTTGGGGAAAAAGGAGACATGTAAAATTTTCACCAGAATTACTTCTTTCTGGGTTTAGCATGTAATTAATAAATGCATCATACAGTATTTTGTTTTAATTTTAGCAAGGGAGAGAGTTAAAAGGGAAAAAGATGAACACAGATTTTCCTCTAATCACCTTTATCACCAGTTCCTACCACCCCTAATTATCGGTGACATCCACCTGGTGATCAAGTCCTTCCAGGGCTGGCCCTTGACAGGGGAGCTACTGACCACGTACAGGGTGATGGAGGCAGGAGTGGGCGCTGCCGGAACTGGCTCTACATTCTAAGACCCCACACGTTTCCCTCAGACTGAACACCCTCTGCTGTGGAAGTTAGGGAGAGAAGCTGTATGGTGGAGGGCATTACAAAATTCTCTAAGAGCCTTTTGTGGGAAGTAAAGAAATTTAAAGGATGAAGATTTCAAGAGTGACGCAGTAATATTGTAAGTAGATGACCTTTAATACTCAATAAAGCACTTGCACATCTATTTTCTTATCTGCACCTGAATGTAAGCACGTCTTTAAAGATATTCACGCTTACTAAGTTGAATCTTACTTAGCTGAATGCTTTGCTGCACCTCAAAGATCAAACACAGTGGCAATGATTTTAGAAATGCCTGTAATAAAACTATGGGGAAAAAGGCTATAATCTACTTTTAGTAGGAAAATATACATTTTTAAGGTTGAACAGGATGCCTGTCAGATTTCTTTCCACTAATTAGCAGCAACATTTAGAACAGAATAAAGATGCTCCCCTAGCTTTATATTTTAGTAAGAAATATCCTGAGATAAAATAAGAACACAGAATTAAAACTGACAAGATTCTCAGAAGCTTTTGTTGCTTTTCGTGGCTCACATATAGAAAATCTTTCTGTAGAAAGTACTTTCCTTTAATGGCATTTAAATTTCTGACTGAAAGAAAAAATCTATTTTCTTTCATTCCATCCATTTTCTTAAATTCAACATCATCTGTGTCATTCAGGATAAAGACTTAGAATTACCTAGTATTCATTTTGTGTGTCTGAAAACCTAAATAGGGATCAAGAACCAAACTGGTTGCTAGGTCATCATTTTCACAGAGTTCCTTAGCGGACATTCCAGAAGATGGTACATATCGACTCTGTCCTTCGAATCCTGAGTTACCATTACCTGCAAATAAAGAAAAAGAAAAGTAACTCAAATTGAAAATGACAAGTCTACCTTAAAAACCTTTGCCCATTCATGCTAGTAATCAAGAACTAACATTATTTCAATCAATTTTAATAATGGACATGGGAGTACTATGGACACAGAGCTCTCTGCAGTCAGGACCAGAGGGGAGAGCTTGATTTAAGTCCCAAAAGGAGTCCCAAGTAGCTGACTCCAGCTTCCTGCTTTCAGGTGGATGAGTGATCATTAATTCCACTTGGCTGGGCACAGGCCCAGAGGTTAAGAACTTCCTTGCCTATGATTACAAAGCTAGGTAGCAGAGGTGGGAAAAGGAGAAAAGAGAATGACAGGCCTGTTTCTAACTGACCTGTCTGAAGGTATTTTGTTTGAAAAATAAGGAAGATGGAAGTCCATGGGTTTAATTTGGAAGAAAAGCACTGTAAAGTGAGGAAAGGAGGCCAGATTTGTGTCTATCAGTTTCAGCAGTGCCCACTTCAGCACGTCACTGAGTCCCACCGCAGTCAGTGAAGACACCAGCTGATAACGATAAGCCTCTCAAAATGAAGGCATGGAAGAATGAGAGAAACCCACAATGAAGGTTGACTTTCTTTTCATCCACTCTTAAAAATAAATAAATAAATAAATAAACAAACACTTCTGTGAAAATCCCTGCCAAAGGGTAGGTACATGATTTGCATGTGGGTCTGTGAAAAGCTATCAGATCACTTATTTTCTGTAACAGCTTTATTGACACTGAAGCTACTGAACACATACCATATAATTCACCCTTTGAAAGTGTACAATAGTTATTTTTTAATATATTCCCATAACTGTACAACTATCACCACAATCGATTTTGGAACATTTCATCCCTCCCCAAAATAACCTGCACACCATTAGCAGTCACTACCTGCCTCTCCCTCCCAGCCCCTTCAACCGCTGATCCAGTTTCTGTTTCTATGGGCTTGCCTACTTTGAAATTTTCATATAGCTACAATCATACAATATGTGGTCTTTGCAACTGGCTTTATTCAATCAGCCTATGTTTTCAAGGTTCATCCATGCTGTACTTCATTCCTTTTTATGCCTAAATAATATTCCACTGTGTGGATTTACCACATTTTGTTTATTCAGCAGTCAGGGGACATTTGTTCTGTTTCCACTCTTTGGCTATTATGAGTAATGTCTCTGTGAACAATCATATGGAAGTTTTGTGTGTACATATGGTATCCCAATTCTCTTAGGAACATCCCTGAGAATGGAACTGCTTAGGCCATATGCTAACTCCATGTTAACCTCTGGAGGAACTGCCGGACAGTTTTTCAGTGGATGCACCAGTTTACATTTCCAGCAGCAGTGTGTGAGGGTATAAGTTCTCCACATCATCACCAACACTACTGACTATCTATCCTTTTGATTTTAGTTTTAATGGTTGTTGTACCTTATGGTTTTAATTTGCATTTTCCTGATGACTAAGAGTCTTTTTTTTCAAGATTTAGTTTTTCTGGGTCCCTTAAATTTCCATAAGAATTTTTTAGTAACAGCTTGTCAATTTCTGCAAAGAAGCCAGTTGAGATTTTGACAGAAAAATGCATTCAATCCGTAGATTAACTGGGGCTAAATCCCCAGTGTGGGGCATGCAGGAGGCGGTCGATCAATGATTCTCTCTCAACATCGATGTTTCTCTTCTCTTTCCTTGCCCCCTCACTCCCTGTCTCCCTTACTCTCTGAAATCAATAAAAAAATATATATATATTTTTAAATGCCTAACTTACTGAACAGAGCCAATACCACAGCTATAGTCACTACATTTCTCAATCCCTTCAGGCTCCCATCACACGCTAAGGGGCAGGGAGGTGTCCATGCAGAAGAGCATCCATTACAAAAACAGTGACCACGCCGAAACCGGTTTGGCTCAGTGGTAGAGCGTCCGTCTGCGGACTGAAGGGTCCCGGGTTCGATTCCGGTCAAGGGCATGTACGTAGGCTGCGGGTACATCCCCAGTGGGGGGTGTTGCAGGAGGTGGCTGGTCGATGTTTCTCTCTCATCGACGTTTCTGGCTATCTCTCTCCCTTCCTCTCTGTAAAAAAATCAATAAAATATATTTAAAAACGAAACAAAAAAACAGTGACCTGATCTGACCTGGAAAGGTTAAGGGCAGTATGGGCCCCAACCAATGAATAGCATAACCCCTAAAAGGTAAAAATGAAATGAATGAGAACTAGAGCAATTTAGCTGAAACTGCAGGACACTCAGGCTAATTCAATGTACGGGGAGCAGGCAAGTTCCAACACAAACTAAGGCTGTTTAGCAGTAGCTAAACTAACCTCAGGAAAAGTAAGAAAGAGAAAAAGCTCCGCTCCTTACCATGGTCAGACACTCTGGAAAACCTCCATGTAGTTGTCCACTGAGGCTCATGTTTATCCTGGGTCGATTTACTACTCATATAAGAGCTATGAAAACTACAATTTCTCACAACTCTCAGCCAGTCATTTCATTCTTACCAAGAGGAACAGAGGTAAAAAAGTAACTTAACGTCAATAGTGCCTTCCTATCTGGATAAAGGCTTGTTCACTCTATATAAATGTAAGAAATGGTGACAATTTGTGAAGCTGCACTAAACTATATTTATCATGCAAATCAGAGTTAACTTTATTCATATTTCTGTAAGTTTTCAAAGACATACATATTTATACTTACATCAAATATAAAAAATACAGTCTGAACTTTAAAGAAATTCAGGTAAGTAGCAGTATTTAATTTTTTTTTATAGTACAGATTAGCAATTTAGGTATAAATTCAACAAAATATAATTAAAACCATGAATATAAAAAGATGATTGAAGTTATTATATTAAGCATTAAACTGAAGTTGACACATTTGATGAGAATAAAAACTGATACAACTTTGAAAGAGTAAAATACTATATGTTAACTATGTGAGAGCATGAAGAATTGTTTTGAATACAACAGAACACGAATACATTACAAACAGGAAAGAATTACTGCCTCACATCACAATGAAAAGAGCAAGTTTGTGTACATACATCTGCTGGACCTCCTCTCCCCTGCGTGTCTGCCGGCCTTCACAGAGTCCTTCCCCGGGTGCGGCACTTTCGGCTGGTTCTGCTGATGCTCATTAGACAACCTGCCTCCATGTCTCCGGCCATTCACCACCATGTTCTTGGATTCTCCCAACCACTTCATGCCCACAGCCAGCCTGACCCAGGTGCATTTAGTCACTCTCTTCAAATAGCTCAGAGAATAAGTTCAATGTTCTCTCCTAACGGAAACAAAACAGGAAAAACAAACAAAATGGGAGGTAAATACACAACAGACCATGCTACACAGACTCTGAGAAAGATACAGAGTATTAAAAGTACTGTAGTAACAATGTTCCCACTATAAAAGATAGAGTATTAAAAGTATTGTAGTAGCCGAAACCGGTTTGGCTCAATGGATAGAGCGTCGGCTTGGGGACTGAAAGGTCCCGGGTTCGATTCCGGTCAAGGGCATGTACCTTGGCTGCGGGCATATCCCCACTAGGGGGTGTGCAAGAGGCAGCTGATTGATGACTCTCTCTCATTGATGTTTCTAACTCTCTATCCCTCTCTCTTCCTCTCTGTACAAAATCAATAAAATATATTAAAAAAAAAAAAAAAAAAAAAAAAAAAAAAAGCCGAAACAGGTTTGGCTCAGTGGTAGAGCATCGGTCTGCGGACTGAAAGGTCCCAGGTTCGATTCCGGTCAAGGGCATGTACCCGAGTTGCAGGCACATCCCCAGTAAGGGGTGTGCAAGAGGCAGCTGGTCGATGTTTCTCTCTCATCAACGTTTCTAGCTCTCTCTCTCCCTTCCTCTCTGTAAAAGAATCAATAAAATATATTTTTAAAAATAAATAAAAGTACTGTAGTAATAATGGTCCCACTATAGAAAGATACAGAGTATTAAAAGTACTGTAGTAATAATGTTTCCTCTCTAGAGGACCTGGGCTCCCGCAGTCCATCACGCTGAGGTCTTCAATGCCCCCGGCTCTGAGGAGGGCGCACTGGGTCCTGCTCACAGCGTGTGCTTTGAAGAGCAATTGGCCAATAGCAAGTGCTCTATGAATGTCTGTCCTGCAATTACCGTCAAGAATCACCTTTGCTCTGTTATGCTGACATCTAGGTTCAGCTCAGTAATCAGCTCAAATCACACATTTTGGTCACATTCTATGAACTCTGGTATTTAAACTACAAAGGTATTTATTATCTCTTGCCCACAACAGTTTTGTTACATCTTTTTGTCGTTAACATCAACATTCAAGATACTTAGGGATATTTTATCAAAGTACTGCCCGTCATAAAATGTCTTACTCAGCGCTCCTTTACAAAGGAACATGAGAGATCTCTCTCACCATCTGAACGTGAACGAGCTGAATTTGGGGACGGAATGATTTGGACAGTGAGGTTCCCTGTACCTTTAAGGACCTTTGGAAGTGACTGTTGGTGATGGGATGAGAAAAGGGATGTCCATGACTTCACTCAGCATGGAAAACTGCTTTGAGTGTAAGTCAAACCGAAGGCTCTAGGATAAGAAACATAAATGGACGGAACCACCCACCAGGGCTAGAAAGAATGAAGCGATGAAAGAAATAGCGAGTGACCTCTCCACAGAGAACCGTAAGTCCCACCCAGACTGGCCGCAGACGAGCGCGGAAACCTGCGGTGAGCCCCGATCTGTCTGTAAGCCTCAGGCGGTCCGGCCGCAGCTCCATGTGAAGCTGTTCCAAGTTACTTATCCAGTCACCGATCCGCTGTTAGGGCAAAGGGCAGGTGCCAACATTTTAAGGAAAATTGTGGAATAAAACATTTTAATCGGAGGAAATTGTGCTATCAACCTAATTTCCCCCCAAGAATTAGGAGTTCACCAAGAAATCATTCTAGTAGCACACTTCAGCCCAGGTCATGGACCACCCTAACTTACACACAAATGCGGGAACAGATCCATAGCTGCAGGTCTGAGAGCCTGCGTGGGGATGCATTCTAGCAGAGACTCCAGGCCTCGCCGCTCGTCCAGAGAACGACAGCTCGTTACGGTACGAGAGCACCGTAAGGAGCACCTGGTGGAAGCAGTTCTGGTAAAGCTGCCGGAAATTTGGGGGCTATTTATAATGTTTTAGCTCAAGATGAGCACGCACAACAGAAACTCTTTGAACACAATAAAAGGAATGATCAGGTCACCGTTTGCTCTGCCCCGGCAGTGTGGAATGTGTTCTCGCCGGCATGCCTTCCCTGTGAGGTTACAGCGGGAAGGAGCACTCGCAGGTCATGGAGAGGACTGGAAAGGCGCAGGTGATGGGAGGAGCTGAGGAGACAGGCCACAGGCATCAGGTGCGAGCAAAGCCTGGGCTCCCGGCCACAGGGAGGCCCTCCCGCCGGAAGCAGGCGCGTCTGCCTCCTGCTGAGACTTGGACACTGACTCGCAGTGAGGCGCAGAGCAGGCAGGATTCAGCTGACAGTCGTAAGGCCCCTGCTAGCTGCTTACTATGTGGAGAGCTCACAGTGATGCTTTAAAGAGAAGTTCTAGGGAAGCTGTTAGTAATTTGTGGGGCAGCAGAGAAAACACCAGCTAAGAGAGCCCTGCACTAATCGGAGGGAGAGCTGGTGGCGCAGGTGGCTGCTCAGGGTCTTTCTGAAGGACGCGCTGGCAGATGGGTTTGCTCACAGCCTGGGGGGGAGAAAAGGGGCTCACTGCGCCTCCGTGTGGAGGACGGAGCTGGCGTGATGAAGGCGCCGAGGATGACGAAGCTCAGGCGTGGGCAGGGGTCAGGGTGAGGAGTTTGCTCTGGAACATCTGAGAACCATAAGGACCACGTGGCGATGAGAGGCAGGTGGACGCCAGGGCCTGGCACGAGGCTGGATAATGAGGCCTGGTGTCAGCGCTAGTGCTATTTCCAGCGAGAGGACGGAATGACCACCTGGGAAGGGAGGCTGGCTAACGGGAGCCTAAGGACTGGGGAGCACCCTCGCAGGTACAGACCAGCCTGAGAAGACACAGCAGCACAGGGTGGGGAAAGGAGCAACCAGCGGAGGCAGAGCGGCAGGGAGCAGCACTTCCGGGGAGCAGCCACGCTGGCTCAGGCCGCCAGGCTCCGAGGCAAACCGCCTTTCTGAGCCGAAACTCACGCAGGACGGCCACTCGCCATCTGTGAGCCTTTCAGACACAGCAGGAGCTTCTAAAACGGACATGATGTCTCCAAACATGGGCTCGTGGGAACAGAATTGGATAGCAGAGGGAAAATAAGAAATAAGGAATAAAAAGAGGCCTAAACTCTTATGTCATCTGTTTCAAATAAGAGAGAAAGAGTAGAAATTTTACATGTCAGAAAAGATGTATGTAAATTAAACTCAGAGGACAGGAGAAGATGGGGATAAGTTAATTTGATAATAGTATGCCTAAGAGAGTCTATAAGGGTCTTTTATATAAAAAAAGTTTTAGCCCTAACTGGTGTGGCTCAGTGGATAGAGCGTCTGCCTGCGGACTGAAGGGTCCCAGATTCAATTCCCGTCAAGGGCATGTACCTAGGTTGCAGGCACATCCCCAGTAGGGGACGTGCAGGAGGCAGCTAATCGATGTTCTCTCTCATTGATGTTTCTACTCTCTATTCCTCTCTGTAAAAAAATCAATAAAAAATAATTTTTAACAAACAAACAAAACACAGTTTTAGCCCAGCCAGTGTGGCTCAGTTGGCTGAGCACTGCCCCATGCACCAGGAGTCACTGGTTCGGTTCATGGTCCGGGTGCATGCCTAGGTAGCGGACTCAATCCCCAGTAGGGGGCGTGCAGGAAGTAACTATGCAGGTGTCTGTCTCTCTCTCCTTTCCCTACTTTAAAACCAATAAACAAAACCGCTTTTAGACGAAGAGATGTAGATGCGCACATCTCCAATTCTCTGGACTGACAGAAGGAACACCCTCTGGTGAGGCGGGCCCTGAGCGTGCAGCAGCGCAGGTCTGCTCCCTCCGCTTCCGAGTTCGCAGTGCCAGGCTCTCCGAAGGAAAGACAGTGACGGCCCGGGCGGCTCACGGCACTAAGCTGGCAGGACCCTCATGCACCATGTGGGGAAGGAAGCTCGTGCTTCAGACCCTAGTACCAACTGTAAGTAAGAGGGCAGACTGCTTATGGCCAAGTGCTGAAATAAGAGCTGCTTTAGAGAGGAAAGCAGTTAAAGAATTATGCAGAGTTGTATTTATTTATTTATTTTTCATATATTTTATTGATTTTTTACAGAGAGGAAGCCAGACACGTCGATGAGAAACATCGACCAGCTGCCTCATGCACACCCCCTACTGGGGATGTGCCCGCAACCAAGGTACATGCCCCTGACCGGAATCGAACCTGGGACCTTTCAGTCTGCAGACCGACACTCCACCACTGAGCCAAACCGGCTTCAGAGTTGTATTTAGGGAGAAAACGTCTAACCACATTGTAAACACCACTGCAGAAAAAACCAGATGCACCCCCCCCCCCCCCAACAACAGAATGGCTATCGTTGAGGGAATAAGATTAATTTTAAAAATCACACACACATACACCCCCGAATGTTTATAGCAAACCTATTTATGAATAATTGGAAAAAATACTGATACTTGAAAAAGTTTCAAAAGAAAGTACAGAACTGTTTCATAAAAAATGTGTTTGGTTCATGCCAAGTGCCCAGCAGGGTGGACCCTCACCAAATGCCAACACTGTTACCACTCCTACTGTCCGCTGTGACACAGGATTAAAAACTGGTCAGTGACTTCTGAGTTAACTGTTCATGCCCGATTATGGACTGAAGGGTCCCAGGTCAATTCCAATGCAAGGGCACATGCCCGGGTTCGAGCTCAATCCCCATAGGGGGTGTGCAAGAGGCAGCCTATCAATGATTCTCTCCATCATTGATGTTTCTATTTTCTCTCCTCCCTCCCTCTCTGAAATCAATAAAAAAATACATTTTAAAAAGGAGAGGAGAATACTGTGGTAGACTGGAAAATGGTCCCCAAAGCTGTCAAACCAGCGAATGTCATTTATAGGAAAAGGGGTTTAGAAATGTACCGTATTTTTCCGACCATAAGACGCACTTTTTTCCCCCCAGAAGTGGGGGGGAAAAGTCCCTGTGTCTTGTGGTCCAAATATAGCCTACACATATACTTTAAAAAAAAGTTTTGTTACTTGCCCGGCTCTGTGTGGTCTCTGTGTGCTTGCCCGGCTCTAAAATGGTTCTAAATGCTGCTGTTTACTTTACAGGGTTGATTACATGG